AGTATTCAGAAAGAGATAGAGAGAGAGAGAGAAGAGGGGAGGAGTTGATCTTGCGAGAACTTCCGGGCGGGTGAGAATAGCCACTTTCTTACTTTACTGACCTGCATTCTTCACTCAGTCACTCATTACAACTCTACAGCGAAGTTCAGTACTGAAAAATGAGCCATCCAAAACTACCAGTCTGAGCCAGAGAGAGACAGATAACCATGAAATACTTAGCAGGGCAAAGGCAAAGGCAGAATGTAGGCAAACTCAAACACCAACCAGAGACAGAGAAACAACAGTGAGAGTGAGAGTGAGAGGAGAGGGCAATGAATGAAAAGCTGAAACTTGTTTCCACACATTCCAATTACGCGGGAGAAATGGTATCAAGCTCAGAGAGGTTTGATCAGTAGTGTAAACGAATGGCGTTTTGGTGAACGGTAAAAAGAACAGTTCTAAAACAAAATAGAGTCTGAATGCAGTCCGTTGGCAATGTAAACAACAGAAAAACAATAACCCGGAATAAGGGAGTCCTCCACTGCCGCCATCTTGGTATCCTACACAACATTTTCATACACTACCCAGATTTCCGAAATAAACTACTCCCTTGCACCGATAAAGATCGAAGACTAATGCCTGTGAGCAGAGGTTAATAATAGAGATCTGGATGATCTAGATCTATCTGTACATTTTTCTTTTTCAATTTTCCATGTCTCCAGTAATTTCGCTTGATATTTAAATTGTGGAAGAAGGCTGCTAAACGTGAAAAGAAAAGTAGATCTAAATGACACATTCAGGTTCAGGTGAAGAAAAAAAACGCAGATGAAGGGAAGTAATCATAGTATGGAATGTGTATGGTATGTCATTTGAGTTATGTACCTTAAATAAGAAAGGCCGTCAAAGTTGAAGGAAAAAGGAAAGGAAGCAGGTTATTTACACGTCTAACATTTCTAATAATTATTATAGCGGTCAGCGGTGTTGGAAATCCACGGGAAATCGTTGAACTCTGCAAAAGTAGAGCAAGACAATGAATTCTAGTGCCATTATGAGGAGGTCCTATCATTGACGGAGACAGATGAACAGATGTTGAATGTGGCAATGCAGCAATAAATGCTACTCCATTTCTTATTTAAGAGACCTCCTCCTCATCCCTCCTGATAAAAAAACAAAACAAACAAAAACAAAACAACAACAGGGACAACGTCAACTACACCAAACTCAAAAACAAAAGCAAAAGAAAAAAACCCCAACCCAACCAACAAACAACAACAACAAACAAAGCAACCCCCCCCCCTCCCACACACGCAAAATAACAAAAAAAACAAACAACAACAACAAATAAAAGAGAAAAACCCAAAAACAAACAAAAAAGAGAACAGCAACAATGCATACCAACGTAAGAAAGAGCAGGACCTCACTTGGAGACTACTCCTGAACTTCCGCGTGTTGGTTAAGTTTGTAACAAACTGCGCCTCAGCAGTCAGCACCGAGCCTGCTCTGTAGTAGTAGTAGTAGTAGTAGTAGTAGTAGTAGTAGTAGTAGTAGTAGTAGT